AAACGCAAGCCTTATATTTGACGCTGTAAGTTTTGAACACCATAGAACCTGTACATGAGGGGTACTGTTGTACTCGGGAGACTTCGCTGAACACAAATATTTGTGTTTCAAAACAGTAAAAAGTATCACAGCAATAATATTGTCCGTGTAATGCTGTTTGTGCGTGAAAAATGCAAAAAACTTCACTTTTACTGACGATATCATCGTTGTAATACATTTTACTGTTTTGAAACACTAATATTTGTGTTCAGCGAAGTCTTCTGAGTAAAACAGTACCCCCCATGTACAGGTTTTATGGTGTCTTGGAAAGTTATAGGGTTAAATATAGTGCTAGCAAATTAAATTCCCTTTACTTTCGGCATGGGTTGTCAGGCAGGTCCTGCTAATTGTAACTAATTAAGATACCTAATTATGTAAAAATATTACATAAATATATATATAGAATAATATATGTATATATATACGTATGTGTATATATATGTATATATCTATATAATTTTTAAAAAATATTTTTATTTATATATAGGTATATATATAGTGATATATACGTATATATTTATGTATATAGATATATATATTATTTTGTTCTACGTGTATTTTGATATATATATATATATATATATATATTAATTTCACAATACAGTTAGAACGAAATAACACACATCTATATATTTTTTAATTATTTTTTTAATTATTTTTTTAATTTTATTTTTTAACGTATTTACATTTTAATTTTTTTTATATTACATATAAATATATATATAACAATAATTATATATATTTAATCAGTATCAGTCTACGTGTAATTTGATATTAATATATATATATAATTATATATATATTAATAGTAAAATACACCTAGACGGTGTACATGTGTGTATGTATATGTGTATATATATACTTAGATCATATATATAATATATATATATATATATATATATATATATGATCTAAGTATATATTATTATTTTTTTACACCATTTATTTGTTTTAATTTTATTTTCAGCCAGCAGGGGGACCACCTGTCATTACAGGCAGCCCCCCTGCTGGCAATACAGAAGCCAGCTATCCCCGGCCATGTGATTGTGGGGTCCTCGCAAGGTCCCCACTCTCACATGGCCGGGGGGCTTCGTGGAGGACGGAAGTGCCGCGGGGGGCTCCCTGGGAGTCCCCCCCACCGCGATCGCCGGCGTGGGACCGCCGGCGACCGGGTAAGTACCGAAAGACCGGAGGGCGTACTATTACGCCCGGCGGTGTTTAGAGCCGCCTATAATAGGGCGTAATAGTACGCCCTCCGGTCTGAAGGGGTTAAGCATAGATTAGTTGTGTGACTATGGTGAAATGTCCCTGTAGATGGAGGGTTGGAAGGCAGGACACCAGTCAAACAGACCATTCACTGATCCCAGGCAAACCTATGCCCTTTGAGGACACAATGTAGTCCCATAAGATGATAAGTGGCCAGTGGGCCAAAGGCTCAAGAGGTAAGAGGGTCCCAGGCAAAGATGTGCATAAGTGCTGCACCAATGTCTTTATAAAATAGTTCCCAGTTGCCTGGTAGGTACAAGGCCTAGTTCCTCTATGGCAGTATTGGTAGTGGTATATGCTCCAAACTTGCCTCGGCAGATTTCATGGTCTCTAAGACACACACCTTCTCGGTTTGCTCTGAGTAAGTGTCCCTGGGTGTGAGGATCATACAGCTGTAATGATGGAGACAATGTAGGTATCAGTAGTTCATCCCCAGATGCCCTCAAGTGAATTCTATGTTTGGACCAGTAGTCTTCACCTATCCAGGTCAGCTAGAATAAGGAACAGCTAGTCGCAGGAGCCAATTGTATACATGTTGTTTGACATTTTAGAGAGAACAGGATGGCATAGCTTGTCTTGATGCCATGGAATCAAATGGAATGGAATGTCAGCAATAGGTACTGAGATAACCCTCAACAGCTATGGGGAGTGGGGGAAGCCCTGTCTTTACGATTAAAGGAGGTGGAGGGGTCATTCACTTCCCCTTCACCTTCTGTAAGAAGGATGCTTGTAGACCACAGGCCTACCCAAAGCTAATTCTGCCAAACACGCACGGACCCACAGCTGGATGAACTACACTAAAGCCCACAAGGTTGCAGGGTAGCTTAATTCTCCTGCAAGTCATCATATACAGATAAAATGTTTCTGAAAAGGCTTCATTATTGACTTTTTCCTCTGAGCTCTCAGGATATGTCCCTGACCAAGATTTTGGTCAGTCTCTAACTACCAGAAATCCTGAATTTTTAATCAACATTTCACACACTGTTCTTTACAGTAACCTCTTCAATTCCAAGTTAGATTTCTATTTTCCTTGTCTTTTTCAAAATACTGGGTTTTAGGGGTTGTCCAGCTCTAATAGGTTCCATGTAAATTATTGTTGAGATTATCAGGATTGGTTTTTATTTAGCTAGCCTTGGTCACTCTTCCTTGTACACTTTTTGTATTGTGGTAATGGTTATTGTATATATGGGTACTAATTCTTTAAGTAATAAAGACTGACTTTGCATTTGATCATTTATTTTGGTGTGCAACCTTTTGCTTATATAAACTTGGAATTTGACACTTTAGGGAAAGCCTCTTTATGGTAGCACCTTCTGCATGTTTTGTTTTTCATAAAAAAGATACTCTATTAACCCCCTAAGGACGGGTGATGGATGAGGTCCGTCACAGAGGGGAGACCCTTAGTGACGAGTGACGGACCTCGTCCGTCACGCTGTAAAATTAACCCCGGATCGCCGCTATTGCGGCGATCGTGGGATTAATGGTGCTCCGGTATGCCTCTGTACTAGAGGCATACCGGGAGCACCCGGTCAGGCTGCCCAGCACATGTGCTCTGTATACTTACCTTCCGGCTTCCTGCACTTCCTGGTTCTGTGTGAAGTGCAGGGAGCCGGAACAGTGCTGATCCTGCCCCCTGTTGTAAAAAAAATAAAGTTAATTTAAAGTCCCACCCCCCTTTACCCATTGTAAAAAAAATTAACCCTTTCCCTGCCAATTGATCACTGACTACAGTGATCAATTGGCAGGGATTACATTTTACTATGATCTGATTTTTTTTTTATCCCCTGATGGTTAATTATTTTATTTTATTTTAATTAATTAAAATATTTTAAAATTATATATTTAGCTAGCTTGGGTGGGTGGAAGTTAGTGGGGAATTGGGGGATTTGGCGTTAGGCTAACTAGGGGTTAACGTTAAAAAAGTTTTAAAATAAACTTTAAAAAGTTAAAAATTAAGCTTAAAAAAAGTTTTAATAACGTTTAAGTAAAAAATAAAAAAACACCCCCTTTACCTAGTCCAAATAAAAATGAACCCCTTCCCTGCCAGTCGACCACTGCCTACAGCGATCAAATACAGATCAAGTATTATACTGTGATCTAATTTTTTTTAACCCCTGAGGATTAACTTTTATTTATTTTTTAACCCTCAGGGGTTCAATTTATTTAATTAATTAATTTAAATATTTTATAACTATATATTTTGCTAGCTGGGGTGGGTGGGAGTTAAGGGAAAATGGGGAATTTACTGTTATTGCTGCTTACTGCTAGTTAGGGGTTAACGGTAAAAAAAAAAGCTTAGAAAAATGTTAAATCTGTAAAAAAGTTTTAAGAAAGTTTAGGAAAGTTTAAAAAAATTAATAAGCAAAACAAAAGTTTAAAAACTAGTTTTTAAAAGTAAAAAAGTTTAAAAAAGTAAAAAAATACATTTTAAAAACGCTCATTACCACTACACCTGGAACAAACTAGAGAAACAATTATCCCACGCCAAGGTTCAAAATATGCCTTTTGAATTACCCCAGGGTGTATTCTTTAATAAATAGTATTTGTTTGTGGGGAAGTTTCAATAACCAACCGTCTAAACTACTCCAAATTGGAACATGGACACAGCGTAAAACTTCAAAGTTAGAAAAAAACTGAATGGCTGCGTCTCAAATGCGCCCCTTCAACATCCACATATACCTGGCAAAGGTACATACGGGGGTATTGCTGTACTCAGCCGACATAGCTGAGCAACATATGAAGTATTATACAGTCATAGCACACATAAGGTTTGCAAAATATACTGTGCAAACTCACTTTGTGTGTCAAAAAGGCAGAAAAAACGCTTATTACCACTACACTTGGTACAAGCTAGCGAAAAATGATCCCACGCTAAGGTTCAAAATATGCCTTTTGAAAAACCCTGGGATGTCTTCTTTAAGAAATGGTATGGCTTTATGGGGTATTTGGATTATATAGCCTGCTAAAATACTCTAAAATGGGACATAGGCATAGCGTAAAAATTCAAAGTTTGAAAAAAACTGGAATGGCTGTGTCCCAAATGTGCCCCTCTGATGTCCACACATACCTGGCAAAGGTACATACGGGGGTATTGCTGTACTCAACCGACATAGCTGAGCAACATATGAAGTATTATACAGTCGTAGCACACATAAGGTTTGCAAAATATACTGTGCAAACTCACTTTGTATGTCAAAATGGCAGAAAAAACGCTTATTACCACTACATCTGGTACAAGCTAGCGGAAGAATGATCCCACGCTAAGGTTCAAAATATACCTTTTGAAACACCCTGGTGTGTCTACTTTAAGAAATGGTAGGCCTTTGTGGGGTAGTTTGAATTTAAAACCTCTGAAGATGCTTGGAAATTGCACATAGGCCCAGTGTCAAAATTCAAAGTTGGGTAAAAACGGATATGGCTTGGTCTCCTATATGGCACTGTAGCTTCATGAAATAGTGCCAAAGACATTCCTTGGGGGTGTCTTTTTACTCAGAAGACTTAGCTGAGCATAATATGGGAGGTTTGAACTTAGTGGCACATATGAAACATACAAAACGCCCAGCAAAAATGCAATCCGTATGTAAATATGCACAAAATTATTTTTTACCACATACTTTGGCATATATTGGTGACAAAATGGGGGTATGTTAAGGCACAATATGCACCTCTCTAATCTCTTTAATTTTACAACTGCCATTAGAGAGCCACACTGACTAGCAGGAACCACAAGATGCAACATCACAGGTGGTTTGCTGGATGCAGTACTATTTGTCATATAGCTGCTAATATCTTCTTCCAGTTTTTCAATGATCATAGAGAATGCTTTAAAGATGGTGTTTGTAGGTCCCGCAAGAGTGATAATTCGTTCAGGGAAATTACCTTCTGAGATGTTTATCCGCGCCCCACTCTCCTCACGCATCTTTTTCACAGATTCTCCTTTCTTTCCAATTATACTTCCAACCTCCTTGCCATACATGAGCAGCCTGATTGTCAACGTAACGTTTAATCCTCCTTCAATAACACCAGTGTCCATGGTGAGAAGAGTTCTTGCAGGTCAAGGTAATACGTAGAAGATGTACAAAGTAGTCAGATCTTTGGTCACAGGATAAGACGAGACTGCCAAGTTACAAAGGACGACAGATGACCGCTGTGAGGAGCGAGGGTGGGAAAACACTGAGTGAGCGGGGAGAGAGAGATGGGGAAGGGAGGAGGAGAAAGGGGTGAGGAAAAACAAGGGAGGAATGGGGAGGAGGGAGCGATCCGGAGGCGAGAGGCCCCGGGGAGGGAGGGAAGGAGAGAGCCTGGCAGGCGAGGAATGGCGACAGCAGGAGGGGCTGGCAGTAGCTGTGGCTTCTGCTGCTGCCTCTGCTGGTCTCTTTTTGTATTAATTTAATATTATTTAATAAGTAACCCCCCCCACCCCTGTAGAAATTTCTCCATCCATGTTTTCCTCCAGTGCATATTTTTTCCAAAGAAACGTAAGGCCCTTTCCCTATCAGTACACATTTAAATTTTACTCAAACTTTATCTGTCAATGGATTTAGGTCCAACTAGGAGAAAAGCCCTCTACAAACCTTACTCCTGCTTACCACTTTTAAATTCATTGGTTGCAAAGATTTTGTGGTGGCTTTCATTTATACTAATACTTTTAACTTATTAAGTGCTAAGGACAATTGCACACTATATTTTTTTGTTCCTATTGCACATTGGATTATTAGATTTAAAGCACATAATAGATTTTCTCTGTGAATGCTCTGGAAGCACTTCTATTTCAGAAGTTGGACAATTCAAATGGATAGATAAGGAAAGAGGATTTACTAAGAATGAATAGTCACTGGTTGTAGGTTCAATTAAATAATATTAATTTGAAGTTGAATATCAGATAACTTTGTCCATGTTAATGCTTACCTAAATCTTCCAAATAAAATCAATTTGTGGGTATGATGGAATTTTGTTCATGTGCTAACACTTGACACAGGATATGGACCTTGTTTTATCTACCAGCATAGACTAACAATGAAAAGCAATGACTGGAGAGCATTTCTAAATAGTTTGGATGTTACTGAACAAGTCACAAACTCATTTAAATGTCAAAGAAAATGTTTAAGGTAAGCAGGAATAATTTAACATGGTTGAAGAAGACTTTCTCTTATCTCAGACTATTTCAGATTGATGTGTTTTCTTAAATCCAGTGTTAGAGGGTCAGATGCATTTCTGCTCAAGTAAAAATAGTTAATGCAAAATTGTCAATATTGCAGAGGAAAAAAGAAGAGCAGATTGTAAACAAACCTATGTTTTGCATCTTTCGGTTTTCCCAAAAGACTATATAAATAATTGGGCATCCACTGTAATTAGTTTTAACTTTGTCAGCCCACGGATTTAATGACTTTAAGGTCACAAGTGCAGCGCTAACTGGCTGTGCATCTCATTTCTGTACTCCTTATTAATGCACAACGCATAAAGGATATCACAAACATTACCCGATCAAACGATTACAAACCTGTTGACTGATGAAGACAAAAATGCTGAAACCAAAGACTTAGATTAGCAGCCTGTGCTGTAAAACTGATAGGGTCAAGAGGGAGAACAGATTTTGGAGATGCGTGTTTCAGAATTATGGTGCAGAATGAATTCAAAGAAAACTAAGAATGTATTTAGAAACCTTGTATAATCATGATATGAGCAGTGCAGTAACTTTTTATTAACCCACTGTGAGCGTAAAAGTGGAATAGTCGTTGATGGAAGATACATCAGGCCTGATTTGCTAAACAGCAACCAGAGAATTTTCAGTTAAATGCCCCAGGGAGAGATGTTAAAGTTTGCAATATACATTGCTGATGCTCTACAAAACATGGTATGGGTCCCTGGGGCGGAGTATTTGGAGAGCAGGGTGGGCCAATGCTCCAACAGCACTAGTTATTGTAGAATTTGGATCTGACTTAAGAGTTTACTAATTGGCACTCACCTGTAGCTAGTGAGAGAGAGGGAGAGAGAGAGAGAACAACAATTGTGTTTATTACAAATCCATTTCTTTTTTTTGGAAAAAAAGCCACCCAATTACAGATAGTGATTTCTGTCTAGTAAGAGCTCAAGTAGGAGCAAGGAATTTTGTTTGTTTGTTATTATCTAAAGCACCTGCTTTCTTATCAAATAAAAAGGAAAACCAAGCTGAATGTGTCCAGGACTTTGTATACCCTAGAAGGCTGTGGTTACTGCAAGATCTGTGACCCCTTGTTTCTCCTTGCTACCATCTGCCATTTGCAATTCAGATGTTGTGCTTATATTAATGGTGTGTCCCTTTAAAAATTGCTTCCATGGTTGCCATATTTCTATATATCTGTAGTATTTGTCAAGTGATCCCCATCTTAGTTCTTCCAAAGCGTGAAAATAATCAATTTTCAAATACCAGTCTTTCTTGGAGGGTAAGGTTGTTGACCTCCAATTGCACACTATACAACACTTGGCTGCCATTAGTATAAAATATGTGAGAGAGCATTTACATTTTCGGTTGAGAATGTTAAAATGATATCAGCTGTAAACCTTGTTTCCCAGCTGTAAAATTGGGATTATTTGTTATTGGGAAGTTCGGTGATGGGGTTGGAGCTATGGTTGGCATGTTTGGAATTTTTTTCCACAGTTTTATTGTTGGAGTCATTGTCGGGTGGTTGGGGATTGTCCAGTCACTAGGTGATGTTAGAATCCATGGTATTGTTTTTAATTATTCCCCTATCAGGGCTTGCTCTATTGGAATCCACAGTTTAGATGTCACCTGGTATGACCAATCTATGATGCGATTAAGGTGTATTGCCTGATAATATAGCCAAATGTCTGGTAGGCCTACCCCCCCTGTATCCTTGGGCCTAGTGAGAACATGGTAACGTATCCTTGGGTGTTTTTTTTCCCAGATAAATTGCATAAATAGTGACTGTATTTTCTTGAAAAATGTTCATGGGATTGTGATTGGAAGTGTATTAAGGAGGTAAAGTATTCTGGGGAGTGCATTCATTTTAAGTATATTCACTCAGCCAAACCAGCGGAAGTGTGGTTTATTCCACCTTTCTAGATCGTAGCTAATGGCTTCCAAAAGTTGTGGAAAGTTAGCACTATATAGTGATTTAGTATGTGGGGTCACGTTGACTCCCAAGTATTTTCTTAGATTTCGTCGCCCATTGAAAGGGATACATTGTCTGTAAACTTTTTTTGTCCCTGTCAGGTAATATAAGGTTAAATATTTTGCATTTGTCGGTATTTATCTTAAAGTTGGATAGAGTGCTGTATTCAGAAAGAATTCCCATCAGTGCTGGGAGGGATGACTCTGGATTGGTTAGAGTAAATAACAGATCGTCTGCAAAAGCAGATACATTATATTGAAAGCGACCCACCTGCATCCCCACCACTTTCTGCTGGGCCCTTACTGCATTCAGTAGGGGCTCTAGTCCCAGGATGAAAAGAAGGGGTGACATTGGGCACTCCTGTCTTGTACCATTTGTAATTGAAAAGGGGTCGGATAGTGATCCATTGATTTTGAGTCTGGCTGAGGGGAATGAATAGATCGCTTGGATCCACTGCATCCACCTCCTACCGAAACCGAGAACTTCCAGCGTCCACATGAGGAAACTTCAGTCCACCCTGTCAAATGCTTTTTCTGCATCTATAGCCAACATGATTGCAGGAGTTTTAAGTCTTTGGGCCCCGTGAACTAAGTTGATATTTTTGGTGGTGTTGTCTCTGCAAGCACCCGAACTTTATCTCTGAAGTAACGGTCCAGATCACCGGCTTTCTTGTTGGAAGTCATTCATGGGGTCTCTTGGGAGGTATTGGGTTTCTTTTTATTACCCTTATTTTCTTTTGGTTGCAGCTTGGCGGCTATTTGTTGAGGTTGATCGGGAGCTCAGTTAGGTTGCGACCGTTCACATTGCCAGTCAGGCCACACCCCCTTCATCATTTGTGTTTAGACAAATGTAATCTGTTTGGTATAATTTCCCTACTGTGAAAAAACTGCAAGGAAAATAATATCACTTGTAAGATGTATCGGTCATGATTAATAACACATTACTCACACAAGACACTTCTGCAAGATCAGTCAATGTGCTAAAATAATCCTAGTTTGTAAATTTATTTACACAATTTGAGAAACTACTAACAATTCTATTTTTTTAGCAAAACACCACTCATGCTAAATACAGAAAAAGTAGTAATTATTTATATTACTTTTCATACTTTTCTAGTGCTTCCATCAGTCTTGTCAGATTCTCATATATATGAAAGAATTAAAAATTAGAAAAAATCTCAATGTAATTTTGACTATCCCAAAGACTACTATTGTTTCAAGCTCTAAAACTTTAAATAAGCCAATTCTAATATTACTTTAATACCTTTGGCCATCACAATTCTATGTCCTAGAGGACATCTAGTGAGCAAGGCTCTTCTTGTTTTTATGTTTATCTCACGTGTTACATGTGTCATGTTTAACTGCTTTGTTATAGAGTATGTTTGTTCTTTAAACTTAGCAATAATAAATGAATCAGCACTAACTAAAATACATGGTTGAGTCTTTCTAAAATTATCGTTTCACTAATTGTACGCCCATGGTACCTTACAGTATGCATGTTATTATGCCCCAGCTTCTTGCCGAAGCATAACAGCACAATTAAGTGAAGAACTAATGGAATTAACATGTTGAAGATATAGTGCCAGATGTTCTGCAAATTAAACTGACTAATAACTAGCAATGGAGTGGAAAGCATAATTCAGCATTTTAATCCACTCTATGAATACAGTGTCACATATGCTTCACAATTTACTCATTTTACCTGTAATGTGTAGATGTTGTCGAGCTCTCTCCATACGCGCAGCTAAAAAAAAGAAAAATGATGGTCAATGATATATACTTTTAACAGGGTATGGCTGCCTGGTGTTACTAAGTGCCTATATTTCTTTATGTGAGATGGGTGTTTTTATGTAGCCTTAATATTATGAAACAACAAGATCCTATGTCTGCATTTTATATAAATTCAGGTCATCCAGTTCTGGGAAGTGGCTCCCAAATCCTTCTTTTTCTTAGTCAATAATATACAATGTTACTTAAAGATCATTATATTAGCATAAATGATATGATTTTATTGAGTAATACGGAAT